TTTAGCAAAAAAATTAAGGAAATGGGGGCCATTTCTATGATATACAAAAAAAGTTTGGGAAATATAAACTGTTTTTTCCCTTTAAATCCTTTAAAAAGGAAAAAAAACCCTTGATTTCACCCATTTTTAAATTTTCAAGGGTGGCAGAAAAAAAACATTAAACCCTTAAAGGGAAAACACCAGGAAAAACCAAAAGTGAAAGGAAATTTTTTGCGACACCTTTTCGGGAAGATTTCTTTGTTTACAAAGGGGCGATTAAAGGGCCATGGGTTTTTGGGGAAAGCAAGAGCTACTTGCAGATTTTCTTTTCTGGATTTTTGGGCAGGGGGTCCTCCAGGGGGTAGTTGGGGGTGTTTTAAAAAACCCCGGGCCCATTATTTTTTGGAAAAAGGAAAATGTGGGGGAGATGACGGTATTTACAATTTTAACTTTCTATTTTTTAATGCCGAAGCCTTTTTTGGGGCGGTTGAAAATAATAATTCCCCTTTCCCCCTTTAAAAATTTATTTTTTAAAAAGCGAAAATTAACAAAGTGGTCTTTTGAAAATCTAAAATTGACTACAAAACCCCCTTTCTGTTTTTTTATTTTTTATTAACGGGGAATTTTTTATTTTTTTATTATGATTTTTTATTTGTAAACAGGAATGACAGGGAAAAATAAAAAACCGAATTTATGACAAGTTTTTGTTATGTTTTTTTTATTAAAGTACTTTGTTTTTGAAAACCCTCTGGGTTGGGAAAAATGAGGGTATAAAGGGGGTTGGGTTTGGGGGAATTTGTTTCTTAGGTTCGAAAATTTTTCCCGGGGAGGGAAAAAACAAAAAAACAAATTTTTAAAAAGGGATTTTAACTTTTTGTAAACATTTTGTTAAAACAAAATTTCCTCCCTTTTTGAAAAATCAAACAAGTTGTTTTTTTTAAAACAAATAAAAGTGCCCTGTTAAAATCTTTTAGGGATGTATCGGTGATTTTTTCAACGTTTTTTATCCCGTCAAAATAACTAATTTATGTTTATTTTTAAATTTTTTAAAGGACATTTATTTGAGAACCCTTTAAAAGCAAATTTTTTTAAATCAGCAAATTTTTTTGTTTTATCAATTCACAAATTTTTTCAGGTCGTGCCAAAGTAAGAAAAAAAACGACAAACAAAATATTTTCGGGGAATGATAAAGTTTTGTAGAACAGGAAATTTTTTAACTAATACAAAACTGCAATGATGTATAGGCCCATGAAAAACTGTAAAAAAGTTGGGTTTCCCAAAATTTATCAGTATGAAAATTTAATGCCTTTTTTCCCAAAATAAAGAAAACACAAAAATACAGATTTAAAACAGAAGTTTAGAAGTTGAAAAAGGGGAAGGGAAATCTTGATGAAATATTACGAATTTTTTTGTGGAAATGCCCAACACCCTTTTTTCTTGGGGGTTTTTGTTCTGAAAATTTTTGGAAACCCTTTGGGCAAAGATCATATCGTTTGGGTTTAAAAAATTTTGGGGTGGAAAAAGTTACAAAAAAAGTAAAACAAGGGAAATTTTGAAAAAATTATGACGGCCTACACAAAAAAAAAATTTTTCAAGAAAAGAACAAGAAATGCCCAAAAAAGACTGGGGTATAATTGGGACAAAGAGATTTTTAGACGCATGATCCTAAAATCATCAATTTTTAAAATTTTTTTGGGGAATTTTTTTTTGAAAAACCAAACGGGGTGCGAGTACCTACAAAAAAAATCGGATCGATGTACACCCATACGCTGTTTTGCATGAAATAAAGTTGGAAAGATCTACCCAGATTGGGCTAGGAAAAAGGTCCAAAAGAGGAATTATAATTGTTCGTGGTAAAAGACGAAAAAAATTTAAGATCTAAACCATATATGTACTAAAGTACTTAAATTTCGGGATGACGAAGTATTTTATAAATATCTAATAATTCGTAGGGGGGTTATTAATGTTTTACCCAAATGTTAAATGAATATTTAAGTGTTTTTCTTGTTTTAAAAGTTATTGTTCTACCATGTCATGAATTTTTAAATATTGTTTTCATTTGTTATTATTTGTTATTAAATTGTATGTCCTTGTTTGAAAAAAATGAAAAGGAATTTTTTAGATCCATATTGTTAGGATATTGATTATAACTTTAAATAAATTATAGATTATTTATGTTTTTGAAATGATTTTGAAATAGAATTTAGTTCATGTAATATTTTGAACTTACAAGTGTTTAATTTGTGAAACATGGCTTTTTTATATTGCTGCTAATAATTTTTTTAGCACTGAAATGGGAAATTAAAATTCATTTGGTAAATACATTTTTCAATATTCCCTGATCACATAGAAAATTTGAATTTAGTGATATTAGGGTTATTTGGATATCAGTACAGGTTATTTAATTGCTCAGTATAAACGGTTGAAATATTATATAAAAGCCGATGTTTTATGTTGGAAAACAACGGTTTTTTTTACAAAGTCAAATGAACCATGTTTTTTAGACATCGTTTTAAAAATTGATAAAAAAGAAGAATGCTATATATTTGAGGTTAACGAAAAAATTACTTAATAAATAAGACACTAGTGGTGAAGAAAGATTAAGATAAAATATGAAGCGACGTTACAAACGTTCAGTAGCATATAATACAATACCATGTAATACATACTGTACCTTCTCAGGGCAAAAGTTACCCGTTATTGAGCAAGTATGTACTTGTTTAGTCCTGAAATTTCTGGCTTTAAAATAATTTTGTTATATTAATTGGTATCAAGATTACACTCTGTACAAGAGTTGTTCATGTCGTGGTGCAAACACGCGTACCTCCCCCTCCCCCGATAACAGAAATTAATTACGTTGTATTCAAAATTCACGTTTTAATTCGACGATTACTTTCGAGACCTCGAGATAAAATTACTGAAGACTATTTATGATAATTAAAATCGGCGTTTCAAACCGAATCAAAACAACTTAAAAAACGTTTAAAGTTTGTATTATTTAGTTACTATTGCTGTTTGATTTTTATGCCTTCATAAAACTTAGTGTGATTAGGATGGGTGACGTTATGTCGATTAAAGTGTAAATGCTGATTGTCAAGGTAAGAATCTAAAATTGCAATTTTTTCCATAATGGTCTTTAATTTTGGATTCCACTTACGCAAAAGTAATCAGGAACCCACGGGCTAAACGGTTATTTTCTATAGAATCCATTATAAATATATTGCTAAACGTAAGCCTTGAATTAATAAAAGGGTGGTACAGGTTATTTTTTATATTTCATACTTAATATATGTTAAACTTATCAGTAAGTCTACCACAATTTGTACAGGTCAATCAGAGACTGAACTAATCAGAATACAAATTAATAAATAGCACACGCATACATATATACAAAGTATATCGATTCAAAAAGTGAAAACTTGAAATTTTAATTTAAACATCTTGTGTGTGTTTGCTTTAACGATGTTAAGGATATTTCACGTCGAAATTGTTTTCTCCATTAATCGTAATAGCTTCATTTCATTGAGAAAAATAAAAATTTGGTAAAAAATTACTGAAATTTATTAGAAAATGTTCATACTTTTTGTACATGCAAATGATAGCGATTTATGTTAATCAACCTATATTAAAAAAAACTATATAGAATATTCTCTATAACTATTTCGGGGAGTGCTTAATTCGTAATATTTAAAAAAAACAAGAAACATAAAAAGATAATTTCTTTTTAAATATATATAAGAGACAGTGAGCTTCCTTTTTTCATAATTTTATCTGCTTACGGTTTGGAATTTCAGTGTTCCTTTTTTTTTCCCTTTGTTCATCGGTTTAAGTTTATTGTTTTAATCTCATTCAAAGTACAGGTGAGTATAGCAACCATGGGGTTTTTTCTTTTGGGACCCTTTTATCAGTTAAATTGTATGGGCCCCTTTTTAATTTTTGTTTGTTTTGTGCCTTTTTTTTCCATTCTTGTTTCAACTTTAAAAAATTTTAACTGTTAATTCCATATTTAAAAAATTCAATTTTTTGTTGTAATTTATTTTTTTTTTTAATTTTAAAAAAAGTTTTGCTAAACCCCTAATTTTTATAAGGGTTTTTTCGCAGGTTATTTTGCAGGGGTATAAAACCCCGGTTTTTTGCAATGGAACCCCTCGCTGAGCATTTCGGGGGTTATTTTCACACCATAAATAACTTTTCCTTTTAACCTGTTGGCCTTAAAAAAGATTTTTACAATGGGTGTTAAAAAGGGTAAATAAAATTTTATTTGATTTATGTTTATTTTTTATATTAAAAAACAACCGTTTTTAAAATTGTCAAAATTTAAACTGTCATACATCCAAAATTTTTCTAAAAATCAGACGTCAAAAAACGGGTTTTTATTTTTCTTAAAAAAAAAAAGGTAAAAACCCCCGGGAAAACTTTCACCCTTTTAGAAAAACCCATATTTTTTTAGCCCCTTTTCTAGCCGGGACCAAAAATTTTTTAATTAAAAATAAAAATCATTTGCCATTTATAAATCAACTTTTGAATATCTCACTTTTTTTTTCAGCGCTTTAAAAATTTTTTTACCCGCAAAAAAAATTTTTTCAAAAATTAATTTTCAAGAACATTGGGTCTTATTTTAAGGGAAAAAAAATATTAAAAAGGGGAAAACGTTTTTATTTTTAATATTTTTACATACAAAAGCAAAATTTTTATTTCGGAAGAATGATTTTTAATATAATGAATTTATTTACCCCGGTTTCAAGGGTTTTCAATTTTGTTTTCGAAAATTTTTAGGATGTTCTTAAATCCTTTTTGTTTTTAAATTTAAACCAAATTTATTTTTTTTACTTGGGGGTCAAAAAACTCTTTTTTAAAGTATTGGGGTCATAAATTTTCTTAAATCAAAAACATTAGAAAATATAAAAAAGATCTCCAAATTTAAAAACATTTCGAATATAGTAAAAAAACATTTTTAACCAAAAATTAAATTTTTAAAATGGGGGTTTTGGGGGGGTCAACGATAAATTTTCAAATAACGTGTACGAATGAATTTGACCCAGATTCAACATGCCTTCGTATGGCGTAGCTATGTTAAGATCAAACAAAAAAAAGTGATTTAAAATTTCAAATACCAGACGGCATAGTTTTTGTCTTCTTGATGGATAATTAACGCGCGATATTTTACAAGGTATGTATGTAGAGTGTATCTTAATATTTTAAGGATAAGTAAATGCATAGTTCACAAATAATTAATGCACTTTCGATTTTGAAATGTGTGCCTGTATTTAAACATTTTAGATACACTTTGAAGTCTTATGATACGTAATGTATAAACCTTTTACAAAATATTTTGAAAGATATGTAGTTGTGTGTTTGATTTTTTAAACTTATTTATAAACAAGATAATATATCGTGTATCATGTATCGTGCTCATTGTCTTCTACCACGCTGTTAAACTAGCCTATGTAACAGAGAACTTCATGTTTTTAGTCGTTAACGAATTGTTTACAAACCGAAAATTGAAATATGGATACGATATAAGTATTGTTTGGTTTTATTAACCTGTCAATTACATACTGATTACACGGTCGATGCACACAGTATATTAATCTTCGGTAGATGTTCGGTAAGTTCCGTGAGATGTACGCTATACAATGGAATTTAATTTAATTTGTATCGCTAAACTAAGTGTACTCAGCGTTATAGCACAAAAGCGTAAATCACGAGTTTATAATCTAAGTGCAACACGTGTTTTAAGTTCATGGTTTTTTCTTATTATTACTTTCAACATTATTGAATCTATATATGATTATTTTATATTGTTCGTTTTGTTTATGTTTTACTTAATTTTGTTATGTATATACTCTTTTTAAATAACATGTCTTTTAAGAATTCATGTTTAAAATTAAAACTGATTAAAATCAATAAATGTCTTTTCAATGCCGTAAAACATACTACAAATCTGTTCCATTAAAATATACTGCAAAAATAAAGAAAGAGTACTAAAACAATGGCAACAGTAAGGATCGAACCACAGACCTCTCAATTATCAGTCATTCTCTTTACCGACTGTCCTATTGTGAATTAACGAAAACCTTTACATTAAGCTGGCGTGTCTTTCAATCCATGACTAATATACTCCACATTAATTCTCGTAAACTACACGGACCAAACCGAAGTGGGATCGAATATTTAAATGAGTCCTATAATGTATTCATAATTGACAGGTCAATCAAAGCACTGAATGTACTGATGGGGAGGCTATGAGAGAATGTTTCAGACTTATAGTGTCTTTTCTTTTTGCTTAAAATATGCTACCAAAATAAAAAGATATGCACATTGCGCTATTTATCCTTACTGTTGTGTTCAACCATTCATATATATGGTTAATGTGGTTGACTATTCATTTTGTTAATATTCCAGAACATTTCATTGAGGTCTACATTCGGACTGTTAATCATACAAATTTTGAAAAACCTAAACTGTCAATAATAAATGACATACCAGCAAGTATGACGACTGTTCATTATCAGATAACAATAACATTTTACAACTGACGGTTCCTTATCAAAATCACAGGAACTTGAAATTCTATCAAATAACCAATATTAATTATAATATCCAAATATACCCCCTATATACTATAAAAAAACACAAACACAGGAACTTGAAATTCTATCAAATAACCAATATTAATTATAATATCCAAATATACCCCCTATATACTATAAAAATTTTTATAGTATATAGGGGGTATATTTGGATATTATAATTAATATTGATTATTTGATAGAATTTCAAGTTCCTGTGTCAAAATATTCTAGGACTGTTCATCATAAATACTTTATGTCATTTTAATATTATTGAATGATAATAACAACTGCAAGTGATGCAACATTTTTATTGAACATAAAAATTATACACGTTTAGATGTACCATAATTGAGATCAATAAGATACTGTCTTGTGATGGGTATTAATATTCATGCTCTACGGACAGAAGGTTGTCTTCTCCAGAAGCAAATCTCGAATAAAATCACGTTTCAGAAAATTATTCCCATTTCATTACTGACGGCGTCGGATAATATTAAAGCTAAATATTTCTTGAAAAAATACATATCTGCAAAGCTTATTCAAAACTGAATCAACCTAAGTGAAAATTGATCAGGAAGTTATATCTTCTTTTTTTACCGCCAACACTCAACCAACTTATGGTAGTTAATCGATAGCTTGTGTATTTTTAAACCTCACTAGCTTGAAATATATACTGCGGAAAATCTGTTGTTAACAGGGTGTGCGGTTATTACGTAGGGTTTTCCCTGTCGACCATTTCCCGCAAATAGATGAGAACATCGAAGCCGTCAGTGCTATGAATGGTGTTATAAATGGCGTGTTTTGGAAGTTTTTGTTGAAACTTCTCCAATTTCCTCCAGAGGCGTGCACGTCGCGGAGAAGGCACACGGAAGGACATAGTCAAGTCATCATAAGTACCAGAGGTGATTGGTTGACCTGTCGTGACTTACTCTGGAGGTTTGGCGCTAATAGATGCCGTTTTTGTTGTCGTCAGTCAGAAAGTTGATGCCTTGACGGTATTGTCGTCTCCTTTACCACCAAAGAACGAAGAATGGGCTTCCAGGAAGAATCTGCTTGAAAAAGACGTCCCAGATGCTATAATCTCGGACATATGGTTATTCCGGCGCCGAGTATAAATAAACTTAAAACACACTCACTTTTGTTGAAAACAAAACAAAAAAACAACAACACATTTTCTGTAGTAATTTTTCAAGTGTTGTAAAATGAATAAGAAATTCCTCTTATGCCGCCGATTATTTTTAGAACACAAACATAAAAATTCTTTTTTTTTTTTATTTTTCAAATAAACATTAATCACTTCAGCGCGCGCAAATATCGTTTTCAAATTAAAGTTTCGTAAGATATGTTAATGACTTCCCGATGCTCGACTGTAAGTAATTTGTATATGTATGCGGTTTTTTTTTTTTTGTTTTTGTTTTTTTAATTAAAGCTTCTTATTCTTTAATATTTTTTATGTATCTCATAATCTGTATTGAAAATTTGAATTTTATTACACATGGACTATCAAATTATGATGTATGCCCTAGAATTGAATAAACTGTCTAATTACACAATACGGGGTCATACTGATCTTTGCGTCTTTCTCTGAAATAATTATTTCTTTGTTAAAACATATTTGACCACATATTTCTGTCAATTAACTGTTCACTTTACTTCCGATTTTTGTTGTACGGAAACACATGTTTCTATTTGTGTTTTCTAATCAATTCGAATCTATAATCAGTTTAATGGGATCACCACCGGGTAAACGACTACTAGGTACTTTGGTCATGTTTTTTACCCCAAATATTTGAATGTTTCTATTGGGATTAAAATGAGCATAGTTAAGTAAACAACTGGTTGTATAAATCCCTGACCTGTCTAATTCTAATTATGAGATCAGTGAATATATAAGACTTTCACTACAAAATATTCCTAAACAAAAGAGCACATGTTTAAATTTATTCCTATACAAATAAAAGATCAGAGTAGGGATCTGTCAATTGCCAAATATACTTTTATGTTAAAAGTTTGATTAATGAATTATGTAAGATGAAAATATAAGTATTGCTTTTTTTATTTTGCTAATGTAAAATGTAATATTGTGCTGGAATTTTGTCGGAAGGTCCTTATAGGGGTTTTGTAGTTAAATAGTTTTTTTTTCGGCGATAATGGTTCAATAATATAATGTTTCAAACTATATGCTCATCACCATCAGTGAATTTTTAGTTAAATGTATGCAAAATATTTACTAACAGCTATATGATATAGCGGTTTATGACCGTTTTCCGCGTACAGCCTCCTGGGGTGTACTAATAAGTTAGTTTTCCTTAGTTATCACGCAAGCATGATCCATGTCTCTGATGTAAGCGACAGTTTACAATTATTTGTCTTTAAAAAAAATTAAGGACTTTTAATGGTTTATAACAACAAAAGAACATGCATGATATTGAGAATACGGCATTGTATATACACCGGTCTCAAATATCGTCAGTAAGACCGGTGTACACAATGGAGAATACGGTGTTGGAACGTTCTAGTTAATGACCCGTCATAAACAGTTGGTCGCTGCGTAGTAATTGGAAAATTGTTATCAAAAATAATAAAGAATATTTGCCACTAAATTAAAGCATTTACTGATAAATTTTCATTTATGCTTTTTGTGAAAAAAATATTGATAAAGTTATTATTTTGAAGGGTTTTCATACCAGAACTATTTATTACAGACGTACGAATGCCAAAACCTGATTACCGCGGCAGTATGACGTCACGGAGTAGTGATTTAAACAAAAATCAAGAATTTTTCAGAGAATTATTATCTTTACAAATTGCAGATATGAAATTAAAGAATGAAAATATTTTCATATTGTAAATGTCTGTGATGAGTGATGAGTCAGCTTAGAAAAAATCAAGGTACTATTTTTTTACCTGATTACCGCGGCAGTAAGATTTGACGAACAGTTATTAACATTGGGTCGGCATAGCCTCCCCAATAAAATCAGACTATACCAGTATTACTTTGGGTATTTTATCAACACATGTACGTGCTTTAGTCAGTCATTATTATCATCTGTAACGCATCTTATCAACTCTTGACATTACATGATAGTTGCATAATCTAATACAAATAATGTCTCAAAAGATAGATGAGTTTCTGACTACGTGGCCGGGAAGTTAATAATGAGCCAAAGGTTGATAAGGAATGCCGTTCGTGCTATATTAAATCAATTTATTTCACGCGAACACAAATTATATACAAGCATAAATTTAATATGGAAACACGTAATTTTATGGAAGCGTTGCCTACGTAAGTGACTATACCTGGATTTAGTAGGTTGGCATCATTAACCACTAGAATGAACAAATGAATGCATATACGGCAATGACACATTTCAAAGAAAGTAAGTTATCTCAAATCAACATCGTAGTGACTCAGGCAGGTCTCAAGTAGGGTTCGAACCCACGATCCATGTTTTAAAAGACAGGCACCATAACCACAGGTTAAAATTCTTGACTTGGATATTTTAGCTTATTTAACTATTAAGACATTCCTTGATTCATGTGAATTTTAAATAACGCAACTTTTATGTGAAATTCAAGGGTTATTTTTATCTAA